CAGTTCATCAAGGGTGCATTTATTTGACCAAAAATATTGGAATTTAAAATATTCATCTTTTTATATTTTAATATACTTTAAAATGTAATTTATCAAGCTGTATTTTAAGCATCATTACTCCAGTCTTCAGTGTCAAATGATCTTCAGAAATCATTCTAATATGCTGATTTGCTGCTCAAGAAACATTTCTGCTTATTATCAATGTTGAAAACAGTTGTGCTGCTTCATATTTTTTGTGGAAACCATGATTCACTACCATTCAAAAATTAAAGAGTAAAAAAAAAAAGATTAATCAAGGACGCATTAAATTGATCAAAAGTGACATTAAAGACATTTATAATGTTGCAAAAAGATTATTTCAAATAAATGCGGTTCTTTTGAACTTTATATTTATCAAAGAATCCTGAAAAATAAAATGTATCACGGTTTCCACGAAAATATGAAGCAGCAAAAACTTTAACATTGGTAATAAGAGCCATTATTAATAACAGCACCAATAATAGATCATATTTGAGCACGCACGCGCACACACACACACACTCACACACACACACACACACACACAGGTTTTACCACCAATCACAGGAGACGTCGCACACGATCATCCGTCTGTGATTGGCTGGTCCAAAGGCAAACACTCACCTGGAAGTAAATGAGGAAGCAGTCGAGCTTCTTCTTGCTGGAGCCGCGGTCGAAGTACTGTCCGCAGGTGTCCAGCAGGGTGCAGACCAAGCGGATGCGGAACAGGTGCTCGGGGGGGTCCAGCGGGCTCGGGGAACCGTCTGTGTTCACACCGAACGAGGTGAAGGAGAAGAGCGTTCGGAAGATGACGGCAGACTCCACCATACGGTAGTTATACAGCTCACCCAGAAACTTAGCGCTGCTGATACGCCGCTGGTTAAACTTGGGCTGGTTCACCTGAGAACCAATCACACATCAACACAAACATCTGAAGCATCTAAAACATCTCATTAGAATTGCATTATTTTTGTTTCAAAACTGGAGTAATGATGTTGAAAATTCAGCTTTGATTACAGGAATAAATTATATTTTCAAATATATTCACATAGAAAAAAGCTATTTTAAATTGTAATAATATTTCACAATTTTTGATCAAATAAATGCAGTCTAGGTGAGCAGAAGAGACTTAAAACATTAAAACAATTAAAATAATTAAAAACTTTTGACTGGTAGTCATATATATCATTAGCTCTTAATTACAGAAATGTATCACTGTTAATGTATTTAATGTGTTTAATTTAGGGCTGCACGATAAATCGCATGCGATATTTAAAGCGCATCTTGTCAGAAAGCCGGTTCTGTAATCAGCGGTAAATCTCCATCACCTGTATACGAGCACACACTCACTCACACACTCACACACACACACACACACACACAGGTTTTACC